TGTGGGACCACGGCAGCTGGCCTCGGACTCTGTGGGACCACGGCAGCTGGCCTCGAGCTGAGTGAAGCTGACACCCCACCCACTTCCAAAATTAAAGCAACTAGTCTGAATGGTTAGTGCTCCGTTAGTGCTGGTTTGTGCCGTTAAAATTTTCGTTTGTGCTGCTTTGCTTTATGAGATATTAAAAGTTATAATTTTGACCTGTAATAGACGCTCAGGCGCGTTCTCGCACACGTCAGGGCAGAGCGTTTACTTAAGGCGGGCGCGCGCTCCGGCTGTAATTGTGTGGATCAGATTTGACAACAAAAACATCCATCCATCCATCCATTTTCTTCCGCTTATCCGGGGTCGGGTCGCGGGGGTAGCAGCCTAAGTAGGGAGGCCCAGACTTCCCTCTCCCCAGCCACTTGGGCCAGCTCTTCCGGGGGAATCCCGAGGCGTTCCCAGGCCAGCCGAGAAACGTAGTCCCTCCAGCGTGTCCTGGGTCTTTCCCTGGGCCTCCTTCCGGTGGGACGTGTCCGGAACACCTCACCAGGGAGGCGTTCAGAAGGCATCCTAAACAGATGCCCAAGCCACTTCAACTGGCTCCTCTCGATGTAGAGAAGCAGCGGCTCTACTCCGAGTCCCTCCCGGATGATCGAGCTTCTCACCCTGTCTCTAAGGGAGAGCCCAGACACCCTGCGGAGAAAACTCATTTCGGCCGCTTGTATCCGAGATCTCATTCTTTCGGTCACAACCCAAAGCTCGTGACCATAGATGAGGGTGGGAACGTAGATCGATCGGTAAATTGAGAGCTTCGCCTTTTGACTTAGCTCTCTCTTCACCACGACAGACCCGTACAGCGTCCGCTTCACTGTAGACGCTGCACCTATCCGCCTATCGATCTCACGCTCCATTTTTCCCTCATTCGTGAACAAGACCCCAAGATACTTGAACTCCTCCACTTGGGGTAGGACCTCCTCCCTGACCCAGAGAGGGCACTCTACCCTTTTCCGGCTCAAGACCATGGCCTCGGATTTGGAGGAACTGATCTTCATCCCGGCCGCATCGCATTCGGCTGCGAACCGCTCCAGCGAAAGCTGTAGATCACGATCTGATGAAGCCAATAAGACCACATCATCTGCAAAAAGCAGAGACGCAATTCTGAGGCCACCAAAACGGATCCCCTCAACACCTTGGCTGCGCCTAGAAATTCTGTCCATAAAAGTTATGAACAGAATCGGTGACAAAGGGCAACCTTGGCGGAGTCCAACTCTCACCGGGAACAAGCCCGACTTACTGCCGGCGATGCGGACCAGGCTCTGACACCGGTCATACAGGGACCTAACAGCCCGTATCAAAGGGCCTGGTACCCCATACTCCCAGAGTACCCCCCACAGGGCCCCCCGAGGAACGCGGTCGAAAGCCTTCTCCAAGTCCACAAAGCACATGTAGACTGGTTGGGCAAACTCCCACGCACCCTCCAGGACCCTGCTGAGAGTGTAGAGCTGGTCCAGTGTTCCACGGCCAGGACGAAAACCGCACTGTTCCTCCTGAATCCGAGGTTCGACTATCCAACGGACCCTCCTCTCCAGAACCCCCGAATAGACCTTACCAGGGAGGCTTAAGAGCGTGATTCCCCTGTAGTTGGAACACACTCTATGGTCCCCCTTTTTGAATAGGGGGACCACCACCCCGGTCTGCCAATCCAGGGGAACTTCCCCCGATGTCCACGCAACATTGCAGAGTCGCGTAAGCCAACACAACCCTACAACATCCAGAGCCTTAAGGAACTCTGGGCGGATCTCATCCACCCCTGGGGCCCTGCCACCGAGGAGCTTTTTAACCACCTCGGTGACCTCAGCACCAGAGATTGGAGGGCCCGACCCAGAGTCCCCAGGCTCCGCTTCCTCAGTGGAAGACGTGCCGGTGGGATTGAGGAGGTCTTCAAAGTATTCCGCCCACTGACCCACAACATCCCGAGTTGAGGTCAGCAGCAAACCACTCCCACTATA